AGCTGTACACACATGACGTAATTGTAACTGACTCACACAGTATGCTGACAAAAATGGAGACAATCATGCTTCGTGCAGAGTGGCAAGCATCGCTTCAGAGGTCCCGTGTGGGTTGCCTTCTTTGGATATTTTCTCCAGGTCATGGCGGTGTGTTGGAAAAGAAGAAGGCAGATAGACTGGCCGGTTCTGCCCCATTTGGGGGTGAACTGGTGTATGACAAGCTAGATGCTGCGAAGGCCCTTTGGGAGCGAGTGAACAGTGCGGAGACACAGATAGATCATAACGGCCTAAGGAGAATAGCGCTGCAGGAAGTTAACAGGGCATTTGGCCGACGTTCAACACTCAAGGGAAAGGTGAGACGGATTTACAGACAGATAGTTATTGGTCCCATCGGAACTGAAACTCTTCGCTTGCTGCTGAAGATGGAACGAAACGCTCATGGGAGTGTCCTGAGTGCCATGATGTAGATTCTTATTCAATAAATACTCAGACTTATTTCCACCATTTTCCAAACACAGATTATAACAGTTACCATTGAATGCGACAGCGTCGCTTAACATAGCATTTCGAACTGAGAGACACTGACGAGTTTCTTTGTTTTTCTTCTTCTTCTTCTCGTTCACCAGCTGTAAACTCTGGCGGAAAGTTTGGTTCTGGTTCGATCCACTATTGAACTTCAGTTTTGTTTCAGAAGCTGAGTATTGCTTGCGCATCCGTTTTACATATCTGACTCATTTATTTCCAAACTGCTGGTTCCTTGCCTCTCAGGCAGATGCACTCTGACTTCGAAGAAAGCTCTCATTTAGTCTACTCATACGACATGCTTTTGGGTTTGCCGTGGATCTATTCTTGTTTCCCCTATAACAATGGCTTGAAACCCACATTGGGGACATATCTAGTTTCATTTCTGAGCTTTTCGACTGTTTCTGGCTTTGGTGAATTAACATTATATTTGATGTATCCCATAAATAGAAATCAAATGCTGTGCGGTCTCGGAAATGGCAGCGAATCTAACAACACTTCTCATCCAATCCATCTGTCCGGAGAAATTGCATTGAGATAGGCCCCTTTATTACGATAGAAGTTGGGAGGTGCCCCATATTGCTGGAAATAAAACTAGGTCTCCAAACATCTCAATGCTTGGGCCGACTAATCGCTGCAATAAATATAGTTAAGTATCACAAGTGACAGGCTGCCCTTAATAACAGTGAGTCAAGTTTTCCCACCGCTGATATCCTAGACTACACTGTAATTCATGATGAGTTTAAATAATTCTCTATTGTGACATGTGGGTTTTGAAGAACCCCATGGGTGTAGGTTTGACCATTAACTGAACCATTGAACCTAAACGTTGCCTCGTCGATCCAGACAATTTTCTCTGGAAATGTAGCATCTTCTGCGTATTCGCCCATGTACCATTCCCAAAACTTAACTCTCCGGTAAGGATAATTCATATAACGATCGAGAATTAATTATGTTATGCATTTGTACCAATGGCCTCGTTTTAACATGCGATGGACGCTGGATTTTGGAAATCTCCTCTCACGACCGAATTAATTGTCTTAGGGATAAACTAAGCACTTCTGCCACTTGGTCTTCTCTTTGTTATACTGGTGGATGTTCGAGGTATCTCAGAACGTTGCTTATGGATGTCACGAACGGTTCCTTTTAACGTAAATTTAACTCTAATGCCACCAATGGTACGTCGTGTTAGGGGATCTTTATTATTCTGTCCCCTAAAAGTTCTTTGCACTTCTCACATTTCCAGTAGCACTTAATGACACCCCTCCCCCTTTTTTTCAACCACTAATTGTCAGTTTCGCATTACTGAATGATACTTGCTATTTTGATCTATAACAAAATCAAAATGTTTGCGAGTGAGGGTCGATGAAGAGTGAATACATTCTTTTGGGACACTTACATGGAGCGACTAAGAAATCTGGCTGATACTCAATACTAAGAGGAAAGGCAAGACGCACTTACAATCAAACTGTTAATTGGCGCCATCAGATTTGGAACTTTTCGCCGGTTGCTGAAGATGGGGACGGAGCACTTTTTTAAATGTCCCGAGTGCTATGATGTCGGTTCTCAAACCTCAAGTCACCTCAACTCATGACACCTTCATATAAATGCCTAGTTAACAAGCGAACTCTCCTTGCGCCACCCCGCAATGTTTTCTTGTGTGAGCGCTCCTGACTACCTGGGACCGAAAGAGTTAATCCCTGCCAACGCATGTATTGTTTCGTGGCATCGTCCACAATGCTGGGAAGATGTGATAAAAAGAGACAGTAGCGTCCCTTGGCGAGAGCATGGCAGTATTTCCGCTGACAGGCACACAGGCAGAACGATCTTCAGGCAAACGTGTATGACAAACCTCCTGAAAGGGTAAGGTTCCTATCACGTGTATGCCCTGACCCCATTCACATGATTATACGTGATATTATAACAAGCATATATCTAATCTGGCCTGCAGAATCAAAAAGCATAAATAAACATTGCATTAAAACTTCAGTAAGATGAATGTGTTCATTGCTTCACTCGGACTTCTTTCGGCCAACTACCACCCCACTATTCTGCTCATGTTAAACTGTTCCAAATTCTTCTTTATCCTTGCTAGCGGTATCAGTTATCACCATTTATAAGTGTTTCTGGAAGCCTCCTAGATACCGCACATACTTGTCTTTGCAAATAAAAAGCATTAAATAAAAAAAAGTAATAATGCAACTGCAAGGCAAGGCCGTATCTTTTTGTGGTAATGAGGGTAATGACTAGTACTAGTAATGTTGTTAATCGCGAGTGGTGGTAGAGTTCATAGTAGTTGTTTTGCTGACCCTGTTTTTTGACCGATCGGTTGCTAAACTGACTTAGTTATTCGGTCAGGTAAATACTATAGTATATAAAGTTGACTTGTTATGCAGCCACTTGACTGGCTGCTAATCAGGCCAGATTATTATATTTACCGTGAGCTCAAGAATATACTGACTACTAAACTACTTGGTTAGAAACTAAGAAACTGCACAGGTTAGTTGCAGCTTTCTTAAGTTACTTTGATGGATAGTGACAGTGCACTGTAGGTACTTTGTGTGTATAATATTTAAATAATTTGTTATAATTATAATAATTTATAATAATAATGAGACTGTCACACCAAAGTCTTTACAGAGGCCTGTGACCTCCTTCTTATTTGGAAAGTTAAAAACCACTGATAACTGATATGAAGAACAAAAAGAAAAAAAAATTAAGAAATAGCAGCAAGAATGGAGCATTCCTGTAGTAAGAAATTGCAGTAATAAAGTATAAAGAAAACATTAGTACTGCCCATGGCTTTCCTCCAAATAACAGTCCTAAATTATCGAGGCTAAAAAAACCCTAACAGAGCCTCAACTCCATGTAAATTGCGGACTTCTTTCCGGCGAATATGCCGTATAACGCGAGAAACACTCCTCCGAATGACGGTCCCAAATCATTGTGGGTGTCGACATACGCTAACAGGGCATCAGTGATATGTAAAATGATATGATTTATTTCTGGCAGCCATGGTAGACCATCAGTTGAGTGCTAGGTTTAACTTCTCCCATGGGTCCTAGGTTTAACTTCTCCCATGGGTCCTAGGTTTAACTTCTCTCGTAGGTCCTAGGTTTAACCTCTCCCGTGGGTCCTAGGGATAGGGTTAGGGCGAGGAGTATTGCAAATACGACACCAGGTGCAGAATCTGTCACAATGCTGCAATCGTGACACTATTGATTAAAGGGTTATGATTAGAACTTACATGGGCGCGGCGTGTCCACGGCGGGACTAGTCATGCATTGTTTACTGAATATTTAGCTGAGTTTCCTGGCGGCACAGTGACAAACATTGAGGGCCTGTTAGGGTATTTTTTTTAACCCTAATAATTTGGCACCGTTATTCGGAGGATAGCCCTGCCCATAATAGGGCCTTTCTGGTGAAATGGTCAATGTTCAGCTGGACATACAGATTTGTGAGATTCATAACTAGGTAATTTTTTTTTTTTTTAAAGTTAAAAAGAGTAATGGGAGATAAATATTTACGCATCTCCCCTTTTTCAGTTTCTCAGGTTTTTACGAGTTTTTTGTGCCCATATAGCAGCTATGGTACTGGTTGCAGCTCCATGGTGGATATGATTGTTTAAAAAAAAAATAATTGAGATTTGAGGGTGAAAATTTTTTGTTCGTCATAGTGGTGTCATAATGACATGACTTAGCTGTGTCAGTAAACACACTTTTTTGGTCAAAAGGAAGGGAAGCTGTTAATTCTTTGTTTGTATTTTTTAGTGATGACACTCCTCAAGGTAACAGAATACCTTGGTTCACATGAAAAGTCAACATTATATATTAGTCTTTTTAGTGACTTAATGGTTTCAGTGTCACAGTCACCATTACTCTTGCCTGTCTGCTCAGTGGTCACTTACTTTTCCTTTTTTTTTTTTTTTTTAATTATTCAATCCTCTTCTACTTTGGATGTAGAGATTTGCCAGGCTTCTCTGTCTGCAGTTTTCTTTTTGGCTTTGTTCCTTTCCAATCTTCTTCTAGCCAGGCACTGTCAAATGTTGTCTTCCCACCGAGCTCTGGATAACCCTGGTGTTCTGATTATCTCGTTCTTGGCCTCCCATACTTGCCTTGGTGGCCGATTTTGTTCCCCATTCTGCATGTCCAAACCATCATAACTGACTGATTTACTCGAGTTTGTAAGGCTTGGTTTTAAAATCCTGATGTATTGTCTGATTGCACTGCTTAGTGGTCAAAGGTTTAAACCCTGTGGTCTTTTATAAGAACCGACCAAGACATACTCCAAATCTATGCGGCTGCTTTTTCTCTTCCTTTAGTTTCTTAGGGTAGGGTTTTGAAGTATTCTCAGCTGCATTGAATGAAATTTGAAAACAGTCATTTTGTAAGATTCTTGAGGGGCAGAAGAGTTAAACCACTTCATGTATTCTCCCTGCACCACAAACTAATATTTGCATTTGTAAATTGTTCCCTAGCATGGCCGACTATCTGATCTCAGGGGGAACCGGCTATGTTCCAGATGATGGGATGACTGGGGCCCACCTGTTTGGTTCAGGAGATGGTCTTACCTATAAGTAAGTTAAATACATTATTTACTGTTCCCCTACACATATTTGTTTAGCCATGTCACTTATAGAATATCTAGCAACAGAAGATCAAAAAAGATGCATAAAAGCAATGAAAAGAGGCTTAGTGGGTTACTTTCAAAGACGCAAGTAACCCTGCTGATCCTTTACGAGTATTGTGACTCATCATCAGGTGCCTTGCCGACTGGCGTGGGCGATCATGATTCTCCATAATCTGCGATCTCCTGCAGCATGTATCAGTTCATTTGCAGACACACCTCCACGCCATGCAACAAGACTGTCAAGCATTTTCTCTCATTGTCTTCCTCTATCCCTCCTTCCACAGATCTTTCTAGTGGTCACAACATGTTCTGTTTTCCCTCTTCTCATAACATGGCCGAAAAATGATGACTGTCTCCTTCTGTCTGTGATAAGTTGTCTTCGGGCTCCTGCCTCTTTCAAAACCTCTTGGTTGCTTTTTTTGGCCATCCAAGGTATTCTAAGCATTCTGTATTGTGACTATAGCTTTAGATTGTTTGTGTTATCTATTGTGTCCTCTTGTCTCTACTTCATTCTGTGAGTATCTGTCAGTACTTGTAATTTTCTTTATCATACTGTTTGTACAGTATCAAGGATTCCCTGCCTTTGTATTTAGATCAAGGGGACGTCCAGTTTGCCGCCCAGCGCAGAATGGGTGGGTGTCAGTGGCCATTGTCATTCTGTATCGATTTATATTTTGTTTAAATCGGTCTTTTTCTCACCTGCTTGCTCTTACATCAGATGCTTTTATTTTATATGCATGTATCTACATGTTGTGGCTATCTTTTAACACGATGAGCAAACCATTTAAAAGGCACTGTTATTGTTGTAATATCTAGTGCTTTGCTTTTTAACTAGGGGACCCGGCAATCAGACACGCAAGTGGCCAACGGATCATTGCAAATTATAGTATATTAATGATATTTTTTTTGCTGGGGAACTGGCCAGTGACAATCTCCATTTTAAACATTTTGGCTCCTAAGTAAACTTAGTTTTTGTTAGGTCAAATTCCTCTTGCTTTGAATGTTATGAATTCAATTTTGGAGATCCCCAGTGGTCATCATTTCAATTACTGAGTTTTTGCTTTTTCTGGTGCTCTCAGCATGCAAATAGATGTCCAACAGAGACCAAGATGTATGGGCTAAAACACAGTGCATGGAAGTTGATCTTTTTGTCTTCCTAAGCAGTGTCTTAATATCTTAGTCTTCTTTTTGGTGTTCACCGGCTGTAAACTCTGGCAGAAAGTTTTACTGGTTGTTTGTCCACTTCTGGACTTTGGTCTTGTTCCAGAACCTGAGATTTGCATGTTCATTAGTTTTAGATATGGCTTATTAGTATGCAGGCTATTGGTTCCTTGTCTCCCAGGCAGATGCCCATCAGACTTTGAAAGAAACACCCCTAATAGTTGACTCTTACTACATGTCTGCCCTCAGACTTTGAAAGAAACACCCCTAATAGTTGACTCTTACTACATGTCTGCCCTCAGACTTTGAAAGAAACACCCCTAATAGTTGACTCTTACTACATGCTTGTTACAGGCCAGTGGGTCTGTTCTTTGTTTTCCACAGAGAGGCCCCAGAACCCACACAGGGAAATATCTTATTTATTAGTATATAAGCTGAATGCCTTGACACACTTTAAAAAATGTTATCTAACCAGCTTTGTATAGTTCCTTTATTTATTTATTTGTATCTTTTTCTTTAAACAGTGACTTCCTGATTCTCCCAGGGTTTATAGACTTTGCTGCCATGGATGTGGTGAGTGACCTGTTGTTTTCTTCACTTCCTCTTTTGCTGGTTTGGATGTTGAGGGAGATAAAAGGTTCTGGTCCTTGCTGTACCGTTTGATCAATCCATTTTTATCTCAGAGATTAATTTTCTTTTGAACTACGCAGTCTATCATGGACTTGCTAGACCGGCCAGAAGTTAACCTTGTTATCTAGGACATTTTATGTTGACCAGAATGGCCTCAATGGTTTCTGCAGCACTGATATTGCAGACCACAACATGCTTCACCCTATCCTAGCAATTCCTTACTCTACTCCGTTTACTACTTCTCACAGAATGGACTTTAGTTACCTCTCCTGCTGTAATAAACCATATTTCCCCAAGCATAAGCACCTTTATTATGGGACCTGAAATTTAAAAAAAAAATATATTAATACCATTGTATTAGATGCACACTATTTTTAGATCCTGTATATTTAAAGAAAAAAAAAGCTGTCTTATCGTGTAGCAGGTCCTTTGCAGAAGATTGCTGTCATCATTGTTTGTTGAACAAAACTCAGTCTCTCGCCAGCTCTCCTGCTTTATGTACCTTCATATTCAAGGAGTCACTTATATTTTGTGCCGATCTTTGTGTTGGTCAGCCTCTGCCCTTTCTTTCATGGCACCTACTGTTGTTATTTTTTCCAATCCGCTATGGCACTTTATATATCTTATACTTGGGGGTAATTTGTTTATAACAACTTGTTTGCATCTGTGTAGTATCATCTGGACATTTGCTCCTGTAGTATCCAGCACCACATCGTACACTATTATGAGCAATTTGAAGAAGGGGCTAAAAGATATCCTATTCTAACTTTGTGGAGTTGTGGTATCCAGTAACTAGTATGCTAACCTCTCAATCTGCGGATCGTAGGTGCAAATAACCAAGGCAAATTTTTATGTTAATCTAGGCTTCCTGTGTGACCCGGGCCCGGAAAAAATGGGTACCAGAAAATTTTCTGGGGAGTAAAGGCTGTGTGTGAAAATCAAATCATTTAGTTTACTTTATTATTTTAGCTTTGTCTAACTCTGACCCTAACCTCAAACATAACACCACTGAAATATTGAACTTTCCTGGAAACTCAGAGATTTCATCTGTTTGTGGTGAATTATAAATAAAGCACTGTAAAGCATTTTCTCTGTTTGTGGTGAATTATAAATAAAGCACAGTAAAGCCTCATTAACACACATTCCAGTAAATAGTTTTAAAAAAAAGGAAAGGACCCTTTTCCATGCCTTTTGGGCATAGAGGGTTAGACCTATATTTTATAGACCAATCAACACAAGATGGGTGATGTGGTCAGCATCACGCCTGCCGCCTTTACTTCTCGGGACTGCCCCCGTACACCCACTCAAGGCTGGGTCGACCTGGGAGCCAAGGTCATTTTTGAAAAAAAGTCAGTTCCACCCGAGAGCGAATCCACAACCTTCCGACCCGCGGGGAGTGTCTAGCTGCTCCACTACGGCGACTCCCTACACATTCCAGAGGACTGAAAATCAAGCTTGTGTTAAAAATAATTAATGCTAACCTGAGACTAATAATAACAACAGTAACACATCCCTGCTTTAATGAAAATTTAGTTCATATTTGGCGAGTGTTCTTAAGCGAGCTTGTGTAAACAAGTTTTTGACAAGTCTGCCTACTCTTTCCCCTTTCTTTTCTCTCTCCCCGCCAGTCCCCTCATTTGTCCCACCTTTTCTCCTCTCCTTTTGTTTCATCTTTTACGGCTTAATACCACATTATTTAAACCGTAAATTCAACAATTTGCCAATTTCTATTTCACAGCTGTAGATTGTTTTTAAGACATAACTTTTGTTTCTAGGATCTGACCTCAGCACTGACCAAAAACATCAGTCTTAAATCTCCCCTGGTGTCTTCTCCCATGGACACGGTTACAGAGTCACAGATGGCCATTGGTATGGCGGTAAGTGATATTTTTTAAAATTCTACAGATATTTTGATCTGCACTTTCCAATTCACAAAACTGCTAAACTTTCCTGGTTCTCTTTTCTGTGGTATTTTGATCCTAGGTTCTGGCACTTTTTTGTGTGTCTTTACTTCATTGTTAATGGTATTTTATTTATTCTGAAATGTTATCAGTATTTTTACCTGATTGAGGGTAGGTGAGGCATTGCTAAAGTTCACTTCCTTCATAGTTCTACATTATTAAAATCTGTTCTTGTGAGCTAACAGAGCCTGCATTTTTTTTTTTTAGGTGAAACTGCCTGTGTGCTTTCTTGCTGAAAGTTGTCTGGGTTCAGCTGACTCTTGAATATAGATATCTTCTTTTGGCCTTTATCTCACAGTAGGACTTAAGCCCTTAACAAACTCATGCCAAGTCATCCTTTCTTTTGCTACCCCCTACAAAACTCAGCCAGTGAACTCATCTTATTAAACTGTGTGCAGTGAAAAATGCCTGGCAGTTTTTCTGAGTTCCTAATTATATGAAGCACTTCAGGCCACAGGGTTAGAATGCAAGGCTTTCATTGAGAAGACCTGGTTAAAATCCTCAGAATGAAGATGGACATTTTTCTGTCAGTTGCAGAAAATAAACTCATAACCTTCATGGTGACTAGACTAGCCTAGCCATGCAGCCTTTAATCCTCAGGTTGAAACCTAGGCCCTAAAAAGCTATAAGATAAGGACAGTTTAAGGATCTGATTATCTGCACAGTATTTTGTCACTGATTATTCACATAATTTATTACATGTAGTTTCCTTTCATTTTTTACAGCTTTGTGGTGGAGTGGGAGTAATTCATCACAACTGCACACCAGAATTTCAAGCAAATGAAGTTAGGAAAGTTAAAGTAAGTATCCATATATGTTTGTTGGGTGGGGGGGGGGGGGAGGGGGGATAAGAATCTGTGGTTGGACTTGACTTACCTCCCCTTAACCATACATGTTGCATTGATATTACATGATGAAAATGTTTGATAAAAAACAAAAACTAAATAGAGCATTATGTTTGGGAGTGTTGCTTGCAAAATAAATAAACGACCAAACAGTATTTATGCATGCTTCGTAGACTGGAGTCAGTGTCTGTGGCTCAGGGGTTGTTAGCACAATTTCACCATCTCAAGCTTAACAGGCTTCAGAGTCAGCTGCACCTGATTTCATAGCAGACGGCTTTGATATGGAGAACAGTATGGGAATTGTGGGATACAGAAAGCATTAGCAGACTATTCAAACATTGAAATGTATAGTCAAACCACACAGCTGCCAATAAATACATATTAATAACGGAAGGTGATGACAGATAAAAGAGAGCATTCAGCAGTGAACTCTATCAGTTTGTGCTGTCCTTTTCGTTTCTTCTTGTACTCTTACCAGAATGCAGTTAAATTATTTATAAATGAATACATGATGCATTCCCTGGTACCACACGAATAAAACCCCCTTCACACAAATTCACAATTATACAGATCTTCTTACAGTACTCACATCTGTCTGGGGGATGAGTGGTCTTGAGGTATGGTGTCTGCCTCAAGTGCTGGAGGTATCAGTTTCAAACCCCGGTGAATTTCTAGTAGTTTCCCCTGGTCTCTGGGTAGTAAGATTGTACGCTCGTGTGTATTCTTGTGCACGTAAAAAAAATCCTTTGGCAGTTGGAAATCTAAAATAGTAGCCTAATGGCGCTGCCCGGGCAAACTTTTGAGTTAAAAATCTACCCAAAGTATTTCAGGAACCTCGCTGGTGCAACGGAGTTCGTCCACTGAACTTAGAATGTTCAGACTGAGGCTTGGGTGAGAAGTAGAATGGAGCAGTTAGGGTTACTACCCTTGTGCCATGATGTTGATCTGTCAAATAAACATAACCGTCTGTCTGTATTTCTCTGTGTCTCTCTACTACCTACAGCTCTTTTTCAAGCCCTTTGAACCACACCATCAGCTTTTCAGTCCTGTAAAAAAAATAATCTAGCTCATGTATTTTTAGGAGTTTTTACATAAAACAATATTGTTTATTTTCAGAAATATGAACAAGGCTTCATTTTGGACCCTATTGTCATGTCCCCAAAAAACACCGTTGGTGATGTCGTGGCAGCCAAGCAGAAGTACGGGTTTTCTGGCATTCCTGTTACAGTGAATGGACATATGGGAGAGAAGCTTGTGGGCCTCGTCACACAGAGAGATGTAGATTTTCTATCGCAGCATGAATACTCAACACCTATTGAGAATGTATGTACCGGTATTCCTACAATATAGTGTAGAATATATTCCCATGCAAAAGTAAGTGACCTGATCCATAATCTGAACATAGAGAACTGGCTCGTAACGGGTTCTGTTCATTGAGAGCAAAAAAAAATAATTTTAACCCCTATAAACTCTTTCGCCCCGTAAACTAAAAAAAAAAAGACTCTAAAATAGATCATCTATTTAATTTCATGAGTTACCACCCTAAAAAACTAGGAGAAGCAGCTGAGGAAATTTGGAGCATTGGTCAGTTTTAAAATAAATATCCGTGGTGTCGAACTCCTAGACCACCGAGCAGACAAGAGAGGCCTGATTTCCTCTGCATCTTCGGTGACATCTCATCCTTAAAAATTATTTTCTTGGCTCAAGATTTATAAATAGGGATAAAGTTTATTTTTACTTCAAGGCAGATAATCACTAAATATGAAAAGAATTAGCTAATTTCCTTACTAATGACCATTGAAAAATGAATCAAACACTGTCACAGACAGTAGTGATGCACTTACAAAATTATATGACTTCATGGTGACACCACAGTTTTAAAAATCAGTTTTTTCTTTTTCACCCCACACAATTTTTTTATAGTCCATGCCATGTGGAATTAGTAGTCATGTCTATCCACAACCTTCTGTCTTACGTGCTTCCAAACATTTCTGCCATTTCAAGACAATTTTATTACTCTTTTTTTTTGTCCAGGGTGTTCTGATCATGCATCTGTGAAACTACATCTTCCCACTTACATATATTTTTTCACTTATCTGCCAATTATCCATGATTCACTTCTGTATATCAAAATAAGATTTATATTACTTTTGAAATTTCTCATTTTCATCTAAACTGACAAAGAAAGAATGCATAGAATATTCTTCATTTTGTGAAATACTGCCTTTGCTTGAGCTGTTATGCATCTAACTTCTTTAATATATCTTCTATTTGCTGTTTTTAGGGTACCCATATACTTAAACATTATCAGTTTGCTTGAGGGTTATCCCATTTACTTTGATTTTGCATTTTAGAAGGTCCATTTTCTTTCTAATTACTATTACTTCTGTTTTTCTGCTGTTCAGACTAGGACCCCAGTTTTGACTTTCTGTTGCACTGATGTCAAATATTTCTTGCGGTTGGGTTTCGTTTACAGCGATCAAAACTTTATTATCAGCAACTAAAGGCTGCACTGGTCCAAGTATGAAAAACAAATTAACATGTATTGATTAGAGAAGTGGAGATAGAAGGACACACACTAGACAATGTAAACATCGAAAGTTGTTGTTACCATACTGGGATTCAAACCTGTCACCTCCAAGTGACGACGGTACCTCGCTGTGAGAACTAATTGACTGACTCATGACCAACTCGACACCAGTGGAAACGGTGTCATCATTAGCCCGATGTTTCTTAGACTTGAACCAGCAAACATTGAATATGGCCAGAATTTGTATCCTCCAACCATTGAAAGAGCTTTATCATCAGTTATATTAACCAGGTATAGGTCAAATGACAAACACATTAGACTGATTTTGTATCTGGTATACAGTGAACATTAAAGAAAAGATGATTGTTTAGTTCTTTTATATAGGATTTAACATACAGAAATGAATAGTTAAGAAAAACCCTTGATGCCACTGAATGGCACTCATCTTGTCATTGTTGATTTTAATGCATCGGACAAGACCATAATTGCTCGGATCTCCTCCTGAGTATGTCTGCAGCTGTTTATAAGCAAATGACTTGCATTCTGTTCTGGTTGATGTAACGATGGATGGCTCCCGCATGGTTTTACTGTTAGTTAACTATAACTGGTGTGCAGTCTATTCGGTGAAAAATCATTTTCCAGATCTTTTCATGATGTACAAATTATGCATGCTGTGGTTTGTTTTTATGCTCACGTTACCAGTTTGCAACAGGTGATGACTGGTGTAGCTGATCTCACAGTTGCCCATGCTGATGTTACACTAAAAGATGCCAACCTAATTTTACAGAAAAGCAAGAAAGGTTTGTTTCAGTTTTTGTTTTGTTTTACTTCAGTGATGCATTCTTATACTGTTTATAGGATGCAGAGCTGCTGAACTGTTTATATTGCACCTGGACTTATACCAGGCAAGACTTTTCTAGCCTCTCCGCAGTCGTCCTAGAAACAAATTTCCTATCAAAGACCTAGCCAACTTAGATAGAATCATCATTTCCTTCTAATCATCATTTCCTTCAAAGTGGGAATGAATCTGTCTGAGAAGGCAATTAAAAAACAGTCTGAACACACATAAGACATATCTGTTAAAGGGATGTGCATGAGGTCTGGAACTAGGCCAAAGTCAAATACTGGACAAACAACCAGTAATTTCTGCCTGAATTTGCAGCTGGTGAAAGCAAAAAAAGTTATGCTGCATTTGTTGGGTGCAATGTCTAATATTCATGGAATACCTGTCTGCATGACTGCTTGCAGTTTGAGGATTCTTTGTTCCTTTCTACAGAGGGCAGTCTTGCAGAACATATTAGACAGTTTGTGTCCAGCATGAGTGGTGGTGAAGCAAAGAGAATAACACTACTGTATTTGTTAAGTCTGAATAACTTTCCAAAGATTGAGACTTCATTGTTCACATCCTCCTCCTTTTGTTTGTGTAAGTTTATCTGCTGTTTCATTTCCAGGAGCATCCACATGGGATGATACCCTGTGTATTAATTGTGTTTCCTTTTATGTTTGCTAACTTTGCTGTGTTCATTTCTCATTTATAGAAGCTTGTCACTTGCAAAAGCTTCCATGTAGGCTTGTCACTTGCAAAAGCTTTCATGTAGGCTTGTCACTTGCACAAGCTTCCATGTAGGCTTGTCACTTGCAAAAGCTTCCATGTAGGCTTGTCACTTGCAAAAGCTTCCATGTAGGCTTGTCACTTGCACAAGCTTCCATGTAGGCTTGTCACTTGCAAAAGCTTCCATGTAGACCTTCACTAGCCACTTTGCCATTGCAGCACCAAGCCATATTTACACAAATATTTCATCATTTGGACACTTCCCTATCTAGTGAACTAACTTACTAGCATATTGGCATCTCTTGTTCAGGATACATTGTTTTATGTGTGTGTGAGACAGCTCTGGGTGAAATTAGCCTGAAAAAAAGACTGACCCACATTGCATGACTGCTTTGACCAGCCTAAATGACCACACAGCAGTGAGACAGACTGGAGTGTGCCCACAAAACTAACTGGGAAAGCTAACCCGAACAATATATGCCTTCAGAAGCTGATTGTGTCGGCTGAAAGGTGCAAATATCACAGCTATGTTGTAATGAGGACAACACATTTACATCTAGAAATGGGTGCTACCTGGTATCTTGAAAGGAAAAACAAATTATTCATCCTATCTCTAATGCTGTAACCTAGTAATTGTGAATTTCTCTTGTTGACGCCCCTGCACTACTGTCAGTTGTAGAATTACTGTTACTATTAAATTTCTAACAGGGAAACTGCCAATAATCAATGAAGACGGGGAGCTGGTAGCTTTAATAGCTCGCACAGACATGAAGAAGAACAGGGAGTTCCCACTAGCATCTAAAGATGACAAGTAAGGAGCTGGGTTATGTAGGGACATTAGGACAACATGTCTGTTGTGTCTCTGTTTATGCTTTCTTGTATCTAGTAATGATTTGAACATTAATTTATTTCTGTGTTTTTCCATGACTTGTTACTTATCATAAGTGGGCAGGTCCTTTACAGAACATTGCTGCCTTCAAGGCGCACATAAAGGTCTCTCTTTCTGTAGCCAGATCTCCAGCCCTATGTGCTTTGATAGCCAATGAATTTTCAATGTTTTGTATCAGTTTTTGTGGAGGTCAGCCCCTGCCTCGTTTTCAAGAAACTGAACCCCCAATCACTCTTGCTACTACAGATAGTAGTCATCAGCACATGTAGTTGATCTTGATTTTCTACATCTTGTGACCTCCAGTTGCCTTTGTAAATCCATGGGCTGACATCTTTCTGTATGACAAATGGCTGTCAAGAATCTTCTCTGGTTGTCATCCTGAATCTCTCATTTTATAAGTCTTTCCATTTGTTATATGCTTCAGGTTTTCTCTTTTTATACTGTGACCAAAGATAACTGTTAGCTTCTGTTTGTAATAAGGTGTATTTGTATCTTAACCACTTTCAAAACATTTGGATTGCTTATTTTGGCTCTTTAGGATCTCAGAGAGGCTTCAGGAGATTTTTCTGTCTACTCAGCTGTGCCATCTTGCTGTAGCCAGTATGAACAGAAATATCAACTTCTGTGTAGCCTTCGCCATGCACTCTTACTATTTCAGCTCTTTGAATACGAATGTCAAGTTTTGTTTTGCCCAGTTTCTTGCACACATAAAATCCAGAGATGATACTGTTGGTGCTGAGTGGAAGATGTCAGTATCATTTACTTTTGCAGAATATTTCTAGATAGCGCACTTTAGATTGTGTTGACTTGTGAGTCCAGATTAGTTACACAAAAACACTTTGATGCAGATTTGAACCTGAGACCTCCCTGTATGGGTGCCAGGGTTCATTTTGGGGAAACAAAGAATAGACCTACTGCTCCTTGACAAGAGGTTTAGGTTTAGACAACGGATCAACATCATTGCACAAAGGGTAACCAGTAAGTGCTCCGCTCTTCTTCTGACTCAAGCCTGAATCCTATCTCAGTGCAGTGGGTGAAATCCGTATCACCGGCCAAGATCCTGAAATACTTTGGGTAGATTTTTAACTCCAAATTTTTCCAGGGCAGCACTGTTTGGCTACTCTTTTCGATTTCAAACTGCCAATATTTTTTTTTCCTGCACAAGAATACACATGGGCATCTGATCTTACTACCGAGAGACTAGAGGAAATTACTAGAAGTCCACACGGAAAAATCCCAGCCTTCACCGGGGCTCGAACCCAGGACCTCCCGCACTCGAGGTGGATGCCATGCCTCGAAACCACGCAGTCTCCTTGACAAGAATGTAGTAAAAGTTTGTTTATTGAGGTGTCTCCTTCAAAATCAGTGTATCTGCCTGAGAGGTGAGAAACAAACAGTCTGCATACAGATACACCTGAACTTTCTACTGTAGTTTACAGCTGGTGATTATGAAGAAGAATCTGAGACCAGCAGGCAAGTATCTAGCCACTGTGGCGGTGACTTTGAAATGTATAACTGGATATTAGTTACTAGTGGTTGTGGAACTAAGCTGACACTGCCTTTGTTTTCTATAGGAAACAACTTTTGGTTGGAGCAGCAGTTGGAACACATGAAGATGACAAAGAACGGATAGCACAATTAGTTCAAGCAGGAGTTGATTTTCTTGTTTTGGTGTGTATATTATTTCATGAGATTCTAGTTTTGGTATGTTATTTGTTTCCTTGCTGAGTTCAGTGAGGTGAATTTATGTTACGTGTATTAATTTGTGAGTTTCTAGAGTTGGTGTATTGCATCTTTGCTAAACTCATTGAGATATCCTGTTTCTGTCCATGCAGATTTTATTTTTCTGCTCCTTTTGGTAATATTTTAGTCCTTAGTTGAGGCAAGAGTTGATTTTGTTTTTTTATAATTCATTGGCACCTTTTCATCTTTTCAAATGATAGTGTTATATTGCGTTATGAGGAGGCATGAGACTCACAGCCCATGACGATGGCGAGTGTGACTAGGAAGACCTGCCCGTGTCAAGGATTTCAGGACCATTGTTGTAAACATTTATGTTTAATCCGTTTCTTTTCAGACGCTCAGCTCTCATCCTTTCTGCAATCATTTCTTCCTTCACTCTCATTCCCTTCCTGATATGCCCTTTCCACACAACACTGTCCATGGCGTTTCCGAGACCGATGAAGTTCCTCCTCTTGATAGCACAAAGCCTGGGCAGTATTGTAGAGACCATATGTTGCCTATGCATAATGATCCCTCCCTCGACCTGCCTTGTTTACTCCAAAGGAAAGGTAAAACCAGTACGTTTGGAACGAGGCAGGTCGCAGAAGCTGCCGGATCAGAAGAGCAGTGCTCTTTCTGTCTGCCTGTCCGAGCTTCTCTTCTAGACCAGCTGCCAGCCAAGGCGAAGGGCCTGGTCTGCCCTGCCATAACACAAAGTTTTCAGGTTGCATTTGCTCTTCCTAGGATAAGGCTAGTATCCTCCCCACTGCGCTCCTCCGCCCGAAGCCGTTGGCACAACATGGGATGTTGGGTTAGTATACGCCGCCCAACATTCGGCGTAACAGAAGACAGGTTTTTAATTACTCTCTTTCTTGTAGTATTGATATATTTTTTTTTTTTTTTCCCCCCCAGCCCAGTGACAAGTTAATTTTCTTGTATGTCCTGTTTCTGTCTTATGCAGATTCTGTTGCTTTTTTGGGTCACATGTACAGTGTGGTTTTTATCTTCAGGTAAAACTGGAGTTGATTTTCTTGTTTCTGATTATCCGTCTTAACACCCTAACATATCACTTGCACCCATTCTTGCTTTATTCTCAGACGCTGCAGCTATCTCAGCGTCTCGTTGCTCACCTTACCCCATAGGGCAATTGGCATATTTTCTGTCTTTGCCCTGCATCTGGTTTCTGCATGTTTGTCATTGTTCAATGCCCATTTCCAGCAGGCTGTCTATAACTCCTTTGTCTCAGCGTCTGCCTTGCCCATACCATATTTCTTCCTCTACTAACTACTGCAGACACAGCTTGTCTGTCGGCTCTTTCTTTCCTTTCACCTCTACATATCCTGGTGTGCACAGCCAAGGTAGTTTATTGATGCAAAACTTCTGGCTGCTGTGAACATATTCTAGTCTTAGTTTGCCAGTTTGGATCATCTTAAGCATGCTTATTGAGTCAGTCACTATCAACATGTGTTATTTAAATTGTGCCAAGCAAGTGCTTCTTTAATAACTGCTATCTCCATCATCATGCTAGTAGTTGAACTGGATGCCCGACTTTCTTATTTTACTGTCTTCCAATTCACCTGAGCTATTTGTGTCCACTTAGAGCACACCCCATGAATCACTGAGCCATCTTTGTTCATGATGATGTCTCCTGATTGAGTGTGCTGGTGGATTAGGGCCCTGATTTCAGCGGCCGTTTTGTTTCCATTCTCTGCAATATTTTCTCAGGGTGGTTATTACTTCAGTGTGTTCCTGCATTTCTTCTGACGTTTCTATGTTTCGGCACTGAGCCTAACATGTTTCGGTCTGCAAACTTAGCTAACGGTGTCCTCTGCTTTCACCACCCTGGACTGTCCCTTCTTTATGTGCTTACCTTTGTTTTCGCTAGTCAGTTGGGCAATGGGTGTTTTAAATAAGCAGAAATCCCCATGTGGATTCCGGGGCCCCCGTTGTGTGGAAAAACAAGTATAGACCCACTGCATGCCCAAAAGCATGTCATAAAAGTTGACTTATTGGGAGCTTCCTTCAGAAGCCAGTGTACATCTGCCTGAAAAGCAAGGGACCAACAGTATGCACACAAGTAAGTCAGATATGCAAAACGGATGTGCATGCAAAATCAGTTTCTGGAACAGGACTAGAGTCTCAAAGTGGACGAACAACCAGAACCTTCTGCCGGAGTTTACAGCTAGTGAATGCAAAGAAGAAGAATCAGTCAGTAGAAACACCCAGGTAAGCCATCATCTAGGTTCATTTTGTGCTTAGTAAACCATGTCTGGCAAGTCATTGATATATCACATATTGAGATGTGTGATGTCTCTTGTCCACCAGAGGATCAGTCTCATGACTTCAGTTTGCACTTATAGTCTTTCCACTTGATCTAGAACATGAGATTTGAGTGCACATCCAGTTAACAATTCTGGCTTATTTTTATACAGACTGTTGGTTTCTTGACTCTCTGCACTCTGTTTTTATAGAAGACACCTTAATTAGTCATCTTCTACGAGATGTTTGTTAGGGTGGCAGTGGATCTGTTTTCCCACATGAAAATGGAGTCCTGGAACCCAAACAGGGAATTTAACATGATATATGTATTCACACCCCCTTGCTTTACTATAGCCATTCCCCGTGTGGGTTCCGGGGCCCAATATAAGGAAAACAGGAATAGACCCACTGCCTACCCAGAAGCATGTCGTAAGAGTCGACTAATTGGGAGCTTCCTTCGAAGTCTAAGTGCATCTGCCTGAGAGGCAAGGAACCAGCATACAAATGAGCCAGATCTGTAAAATGGATGTACACGCAACACTCAGGTTCTGGAACAGGACAGAAGTGGATGAACTACCAGAACTTTCCGCCAGAGTTAACAGCTGGTAAACATGAAGGTAAACATGAAGAAGAAGAATATTACCATCACCTTTCTTTCATCTGTCATTAGGCTTGTGCATGTTATAAAATTATATCTGCTTTTATATTTGTTAGGACTCATCACAAGGCAACTCTGTCTACCAGATAAATCTGATCCGCTACATCAAACAGAAATATCCAGATATGCAGATTATTGGGGGCAATGGTAAGTTAATGATTGACAGAGATTATTAACCCACTGTCATTACAATCATGTCATAAAAGTCGTTTGATTTGTGGCTTTCCTTTTATCTGCCTGGGAGATGAGGAACCAACAGTCTGCATGCAGATAAGCAAGATCAGTAAAATGGATGTGGGCACACAAGTCAAGTTTGGAATAAGACCAAAGTCCAGAAGTGGACAAACAACCAAAATATTCTTCCAGAGTTTACCGGTGGTAAATACCAAGCAGAAGCAGTAGGCATTCCCAGAGCTTCTAGTATGCTGAATTATAAGCCAGTGTTGATTATTTGAGGAGGGCCCGTTCAAGTGGTTGAGAATGCTAGGTTATCATTCTGAAAATCTATATTTGAATCCCCAACAAGGTGATGGATTTTTATTGTTGTCCAGAGCAACTCATAAAAGCCAAACCTGCAGTCTTTGGTGGCTGCTCTGGCCATGCAGCCTGAAATCCTTTGACTCAAGGCCACCTGTTCTTACACCATGCTAAAAAGTGGTAAATGCAGGCAGTAAGATCAGTTGAGCATTTACTTGCACATTTCATCGCATTTACTGCCTTCTTCTGAATATAATGTTGACTGGTGTCCATGTATGGCAAGACAGCACTTTTCTGTGAACACGTCCAATTTTATCATTGCACTTTTACTAAAGGAGGGAAACTGAGCACCTGTATATGTGTCAGTAGTGCAACAGGGATAACTTACCTCAGATCTAATATTGTTATTTGGCAATGGAAACCTTGTAATTTCCATTCCTAGATACATGGCTTTTTTTTTAAGTGTTGGAGACCAAGGCTAAAAAAATTCTTAGTAAGTCAATGGGCATTTTTGTTTTTTAATGGTGGGGTCAAAAGTGCAAAAATCCTAACTTACAGAGTTCAAAACAACTACACTGGCCATGTTGCCTTTAATCCCCAGGCTCAGAACGTCTTTTTCCTACTCAGCCTTAACACTTTCAGTCCCAAACAACACATGCTGTATTTCACATATTTCAAACATCACATTGCGTGTCTTCTTGTATTTAAGTTATGGTCAATGTATACTTAATAAATTTGGCAAACACAGAGGTATCTTTGATTTATTTTTCATTCATACCAACACAGCAGGTGATTAGAGTTTACGGGGCAATCTGTAGTGAAAGAATAATTGTTTTCGTACAAAACCTTACAGAACTGAAAGAGTTTAAAATTAGGTACATAGAGGCAACTGATTAGATTAAAGTTTAACATTGCCGACAACTTGTTTCTCTTCAGTTGTAACTGCAGCACAGGCCAAAAACCTGATTGATGCTGGGGTGGATGGCTTGAGAGTTGGCATGGGCAGTGGCTCTATTTGCATTACACAAGAAGGTAAGTACATTAAATAAAGAACCTGTTTCTGTACCATCATATATTATATATATTGGGTATACAGTGTTAGCCCCACATGTTTATAGACCAATTAGCACTCGGTGGGGGATGTCAAAATCATTGTGTGTGTCTTTACTAACAAGAACATGTGTAGGCTGTGTTGACCTCAGAGGCCAATTAATTTTTTATGTGAGCCTCACAAGGGATCCAGATCTTTCAATACAAGCCTGTTGGCCAGTGTGCTGTGCAACCTAATTATTACACAGACATTTGAAAGATATTGAGAATTGAATTGATTCAGACAAATTTGTACAGACAGTTTGATAAGATCCACAAATATAGCATATAGAATTTTATTGCATCGAAACTTGGAATTCAGAGCAGTTTCTCAAACACAGTGAAAATGCTCAAGAAAATCCAGGCTGGATTCATGACAAGAATGTATTGTGTCACCAAGCACTTCACTAATGGCTGGCCTAACCTTTTATTTCCCCCCAGGTCATATGTGTGCAAATTATCTTGCAGAAACTGCGATTACTATGGCTAGTCTTATACTGGACAAATATGACATTATCAGTGCCATGCCAAGCACTTGTCATGAAAGTGAATGCAGCAAAAAGTGTGACTCCATTGCTGTCCAAGTTCATGGTCATGGGGGTGCAGATAAGATTCTCACTCTGGTTTGATTTATCAACACAGAATGTGCCTCATCTGTCATTTTACTCATGTGGAGCTTTTGGAAAGGAAATTGGAACACCTATAGATCTATCTGGAGTGCTGTGATGATAATAGTCACTAATCACTGGAAGATAGAAGTATATGTATATAAGGGCAATTTTGGTCTGTTAAGTCTCAGTGATTAACGCCCACGCATAACACACATACACACAATAGAAAAGTAATTACAGATTTATTGTCTATGTGTGTGTCTCATAAACATGCATGCACATGTGCACACACATATACAGTGGAACAGTTACATGTTTGTTTTAATCATCCATTCAATGGAAAGGTTACAGATCTGTCAAAAACACACACACATGCGCACTGGGACAGTCACAGCTCTGTTGTAATCAGTTCATACTTATCCACTGGTTTCTCAGTGATGGCTGTTGGTCGACCACAAGGAACAGCCGTCTACAAGGTGGCAGAATATGCTCGAAGATTTGGTGTGCCTGTAATTGCTGATGGTGGCATTTCCAATGTAGGGCACATCATCAAGGCCCTGTCCCTAGGTGCTTCCACAGGTAAACTGCTTCTATCCATTTTTCTGTACATTGATACCTACCTCAGTCTTTTTCTGAGATCTACTCCAGAAACCATAGTGCCAAGTTTAATATCTTTGGAAGGGATAGGGGGTTGTAGAGAATATAGTTTTATATCTATATCTTGTGGAAGGGGGGGGGGGGGGTTGTAAAAAATATAGTTTTACATTCACATCTTGTGGGGGATGAGTAGGTGTATAGAATTTAGTATTAAGCCTATATTTTGTTGGTGGGGGGAGGTGGGCTGGTTAAAATGCTATTAAGCCTATATATTTTGGGGTCTAGAGATTATCGGAGTGAGCTCACATCTTAGGTTGTGTTAAAAATAATAGTATTGAGCTTATGTTTATGGGGGTTGCAGGGGGGAGATGTCGAGAGTATTAGTAGTATTGAGCTCATATTTATAGGGGCAGGGGAGTTTAGAATGCGATGTTAAGTTCATATCTTTGAAAGGTGTAGAAAATATATTATTGTGCCTATATCTTTGGGTGGTAGAGAATATAGTGTTAAGCAAGCCATATGTAAAACAAATGCACATGCAAAATTCAGGTCCTCGAACAAAGCCAGAGTTCAGAAATGGACAAACAGCCAGGGCTTTCCGCCGGTGTTTACAGCCACTGAATGCAAACAAAGAACTGGATAGTTATGGCAGCATTTGTTCTTCAGCCTTTAATGTAATTTGCTGTGCAAACACCAGCAGTGGTGTGTTCACTTGTAATAAACCAGTGAATAAATAATGTCTTCAGACAGTTATGTTGAAAATTGTTGAATATAACGGTGTATTTTTGCCATTTCTCAGTAATGATGGGTTCCCTATTGGCTGGAACATCAGAAGCCCCAGGAGAATACTTTTTTGCTGATGGCGTTCGACTGAAGAAGTACAGAGGAATGGGATCGCTGGATGCCATGGAACAGCATAAGGCATCACAGAGCCGATATTTCAGGTATTGTACTACTTTTTGAGTAGAACTCTGGCCATTACGAGCTCAGGGATGTGTATTTTAAATGCTTTGAAAGAGACGGAGGTGTGAAGAAAAATTATCACAAACATCAGAAAGAGGCAGTATTCAATTTTGACCTATTTTATAAGAAAAGAAAACATGGAACATGTTACGATTTTGAACAGCAGTTTTATATTGGCATGGAAAGGTGTCAGTACACACTTGTTGTGTGGAAGTTTTGGAAAAGCGTGATCTCCCACACCATTTGCCAATACTCTTGATGACGGTGGTTATCACAAACTGGTAAATAGTACCATATTTAGGAAAGCTTAAATATGATTTTCTTCATGTTTGTTTGTTCTGTAGACATTGAATTAAACACAGCGTTATCATGTTTTTTAATATCTAGTGTATCGGAATCAAGAGCTTGCCTTACAAAAGGTTCATTCTCACAGACAAGCTAATGGGTTTTGATTTTTTTGCGAGATCAGTGTTGTACATTAGCTTCACTGCCATCTTGATCTTTGGTTCACTTGTTTAAATTTCTGTTTTTTTTTTTTTCTTCTGTTTACAGTTTTGTTTTTGCAAACTGATTGTCTCAAAACCTTTACCTGGAATTTAGTTTAGGTTTTTTAAAAGAATTTATAAAATTCTTTTGGACTACATTGAGAGCTGATTATTTTCTGTTTTAAAACAGTGTTGATTTAAGTATTCTGTTGTTTTTACCCTGTGGTGTTTTCACATTTCTGGCAATCAAGTACAGTTTTTAATATTAATGCTTCAGTAATATTGTAGTATCTTCAACAGGCATTGACTGGTAGCTATTTTAGGTTGCACTGATACTATGTCTTCTCTTTACGACTTCATCTGTTCATTTAAATTTGCAAGTTGTTTGTTCAAACACTAATTTCTGAAGACACTCCTATATAGATCTCTCTCACACGCTATACTCTCCGTCCTGTCTGTCTTACTCTCACTCCTTACTTGCATGCTTCTCACCTGCTAGCTCACTCTTATGAATATAAATGACTTAATAAATCTTATGTATATGCAGCCAATATTTATGTTAATTTAGTGAGAGTGAGAAGATCAAGGTTGCCCAGGGTGTGTCAGGTGCCATTGTCGACAAGGGTTCCATTCACAAGTTTTTGCCTTACCTCATTGCTGGTATTCAACATGGCTGCCAGGATATTGGTGCCAAGAGTCTGTCCATCCTTAGGCAAGTTCCCTCTTATGTTTGAAAATGCAATTATGTTTTTAAATTGACCTGTCATGTTTGCAAATTGACCATTGTCATTTTGTGAATTGAAGCTTTTGAATGTGGTTGTCTAGATGAAGACATCAGACACTAAAATGTTACAAAAATTTGGTTTGAAGTTGCTACTGCATGAGATCAGGATTAGACAGTTTAGGTATTCCATTCATATAGATGAGCAACTAGTCATTAGAGATCAGTCTAAAAAAAACATCAATTCAACATCATTGAAGATGGGTCGCCTCTAACTGATCCATTCCTGTGCATAAAATCACATAAAAAGCTCTCCTATTTGTAAGCTAGTGAAAAATGTGCCAGTCCCAGCAAAATCTTTGACATGCAAAGTAGAAATGTATAAGGAGGCTGTCAGGTGTGCCAACACCATCGGTCCCACACCAGAATTTCAGTTCACTGTTGCCTCAAAAACTGGCATTGCGCCTATTGATTGATAAAGTTCCTCATTAAAGGATGTACTGGAGTGCCTTGTTGTGATAGGAAATTTCATGTAGGTTTACAACAGAGAGAATTGGACTGGAAGACATCTGTCTTAAGTACACTATGAAGATACGTCTCACTGTGCTAACTTTCACTGTGCAGAATCCACTTGATAGTGATGAGGCTAACAGTGGTTATCTATCATTTTTTTAATCAATAGAAGCAGTTTTGATAAAACATAAGTAGTTTGGATGGGTGCTTGCGCTAACATCTGTGTTTGTATAAGTCAGTGTGTTTGTCTGTCTGTCTGTAATTGGCTTTGATGGATGCGTACGTGTTTTGTCTTGGTTTGTGCGAGCATTTATGAGTCGATGTGTTTGATATTTGAATGTATGATTATAACTTTGATTTGATGGATACTTATGTCGGCGTCTGTGGCTTAGGTGTTGCGAAAGCGCTTTAAAACGTCAGGTTTGATCCCAGCTGCAGGTGATTTGTCTTGCATTGGTTTCGACAGTGGTCCCGAGAGCTGACCGTTCAGAAGCAGTGGAAAACTACTGAATGCAAACTTTGCCTAGAAAAACCACAACAGCTAAAAATGCTGGGGTTGGTTCTGCAACTCCTAGGATATGCAGCTAACTTTGTGTTAACAACTGTATATAAGTAAGCATTTATAAATTTGTTTTGTGTTTAGGTGTATGTTAATAAAATATCGCTTTGATGGATACTCAAGCTAACACTCCTCGTATATATATATAAGGATTTTGTTGTATATATTTGGCTTGAAATGGCACGTCTGTAATTGTATTCTTATTTGTACCAGGTCTATGATGTATGGAGGAGAACTTAAATTTGAGAAAAGAACAACTTCAGCTCAGATTGAGGGAGGGGTCCACGGCCTTCACTCGTACGTACCTCTTGTGTTGGAGTGACTTGTAGTTTTTATTATGTAGTGTGCAGTTTTATTACTTAGGCATCTAATCCTTCTGCTGCTACTGCTAGGTAGGTATGTAAAAATACAGTGTATCTTAGGTAGCTGATGTTTTAAGCTGGTGACCAGTTCTCTTCCTCAGCCCATAAATACATTTATGATATAGACATTTGCTATGTACCTTTTACAGGACATTGTAGAACAAACCCCAGCATTTTTGTTTGTTTTTTGGGTTTACTAGACATTTTTATGTTCAGTAGTTAGTCTTTCTTTCCTGAACATTTAGTACTTCATACCATTGCTGAAATCAGTACAAAGCAGTCTTCTGCAAATTACCTGCATTTTGAATTGAACTGGGTGTTTCTTAATTATGAAGCATGTTCACAATAACTAAGCCACAGATGCTATCACACTTCTAATACCGTGTTTATAAATAGCTGTAATATGGCAGTGGCTAGTGCACCAGCCCGGTAGTCATGTGTGTAAATCCCCAGAAGGCATGGATTTTTTAAAAGTTCACCTGGCTCCCAAGTTTACACTGGGAGCCAGGAAATCATCTAAGGTGTTAAACTGATGTTGCAGCCAATGAAATGCTCATTATTTTATAAATGGAGCACACCACAAATTTCACAGCTGGGTGAAAGGCAGTTATGCTGTCCATGATTATTTATTTGCGATTCAATACTCATGAACAAAATATGAACATAGGTTGATATGTAGTGAGCTGAAAGACTGCTGCGTGATGCGAGCAGTGAACAGCATTGCTGTGGCAAATGGTTTATTTTCACCAGGCCAGCCAGTCTGAGGTCGATTTTGGAATAGCCTCATATACAAGGGATTTCCTTCCTTTAATTAAAAATTTTTTTTTTTTTAGATTTGCCTTTGAACATTTCAGTGTTTTAAATTTGTGTGTGAGTGTGAAACAAATTGATTAGGTTAATCAGACACAAACCTACAAGCGCATTAGTAAGCATATGGCACAACTTCTACTTATGCCTACCTTTTTAGTTTCAGCATTTCATACACTTGTCCAAAGCAAAAAGTTGCTGTGAATTTTAAAAAAAGTCTTGAAAATTTGCTGAGAATTGAAGCGTAGCTATAGTTTCTCACTTCAGTGTGGGCTTGGAAGAAAAGAGAAAAGAAAATAATCTAGTTTGTTGACACATTATCCTGACTCACATAAAAACTTTTCATCCTTAAGTGCTGGGACCCTCTCCTCACTAAAAGAAAGGGTAAAAGTGAGAGGATCCACTTCATTCACTGATCCCAGCTGCAGGCGATTAGTTTTGCTTTGATTTCGACAGTGGTACAGAGAGCTGTCAGCTCAGAACTCAGTGAGAAACTATTGAATGCAGACTAGAAAAACCACAACAGCTAAAAATGTGCTGGGGTTGGTTCTGCAACTCCTAGAATATGCAATTCAGTCTCTCTCTCAACCGCCATAGCTCCGACAATTTCCAGGTATCTCCGTCAAATTGCACATGGGAAATGAATCCACGACCTTCAGAGCGCGAGGCAAACAATTTGACAACTTCGCCACGATAACCGGGAACACCCAACACCCCCCCCCCTTCATACCTTTTCACACATAGCAGCTGACATTACATTCATAAATCTAATAGCGTGTAGGGGGTTCCCCGTCACAGATATCAAATGCTATTTTCCTTTTGTAAACCTATCACCAATTGTCCACACACTACTTCTCCCAGCAAAGACTGGATCTGGCATAAGGCAAGAGAAACTATGGGGGACCGGTGGCGACCATAAAAGCATAATCCTGTTTGTGACCCAGATGGGACTCAATGTTCATCATGATTGATATCGAATGCAGAAGTCCACACACTTAACATTCTATTTTCTGTTTATAAATCTGACACTGCAACTACACATATTACATGCTACTTTTAATTCATTAATCTACACTGCTGTGTCCACAGATACGAGAAGCGCCTTTACTGAAGCTTCAGCCTGTCTGCTCCAATTGCTTCAGTGCAGCCAGTTATCAATGATGTGCAGTTTGGCGCATAAACCAGAGTGTAGAGAAGAGAGATCAGCCTTTTCGAACACATACATCTTTATTCAGACAATGGGATTCTGACTAATTGTATGCAGGCATACAGACTTCTGCACACATCTACTAATAAACAATTTCCGGGTGTTATATTTTGTGAATATTTATCAATTTTCTTTTGGTTTCTTTAGTTTCAAGTATATATTTGCTATGAACAGGTTTTTGTCTTATATTGTAAAACAGCATTTTTTTGTAATTTAATTTACTGTATAGGGATTTGTGTTAATCAAATGTTTTTGTAATCTTTGTAATGTATGCATTTCAAATGTTATTGTCTAATATGACATACTGGTGATTTTGTAATAAATTTCTTTACAAAAGATTTATTTTGTCTGTGACGTACATTTAACAGATGAATGTGAGCATATTATTTGCTTGTATCGGTTGATGTCTCATATCAAGAGCATATTATGGATATTCTGCCCAGGAAATTCAGGTTTGCGCGGTTATAAGAAAGCTGATAGATTTGCTGCTGCCCCTCTAGGTAGTGAATCGAATACATTGACTGCTGCTGCTTCTCTAAGCAACTAATTACTTTGATCCCCTAGGCAGTGCAACATAACAGGCAGAGCATCCATACCTGGGTTACTTATAGTCAAGTTTCACCTGTCAGTGTCAGAATGTGAACTTTTCATTGGCTACTAGAGAATGGGACAAAGCTCATTTGGAAATGTTCTGGAAACAGCATTTCTAATCATTGACACTAATGCCAGTTTTTGATTCTTTTATCTGTGCCAATATTTTAGCCTAAGGAAGCCCTGAAGCTTAACAGCCATATTGCCCATTTGCTTTCAATCCTAAAAAATTGGTTAAATGCTAAAATTAACACATTCATACAAAGGATATTATTTCTGTTAGTTGCGTGTCCTTGACGTTGCAAGAACAATCCCAGCAATTTTTGTGGCAGTTTTTTCTTTTCAAATTTACTTTCAGTAGTTTGCCATTGCTTCTTGAATGGTAGCTCTCAGCATCATTGTTGAAACCAGTACAAGAGTCTGCTTCCAAATCTCCTGCAGCTGGAATCAAACCAGGCACCACAGCATTACAAAGTGCCTGCGCATCACCTAAGCCACAGATGCTGATCAGTTTGTATTTAACGTAATTAAATAAAAAAAAGATAAGTCTCTGTTCATGCTCTAGGTATATCTGGCAAATAGTGCTAGACCAGGCCTATTCAGCTAAGTTTACTTAGGAGCCAACATTTATCATTGCAGGCCCCAGACCCAGCTTAGAAAGATTGTTAATACAATACATGTGGCAATGATCCGTGGCTATTCGCTAGGCCGCTAGTTGAATAGCCCTGTGCTAGACCCATATATTTTTAGGCCAGTTGGCACTCAGTGAGTGATGTGGTAAATACCAGCCGGCCACATTTGCTTTCCAGAATATTTTCTGGTATCTCTTTTACACTGTATTGACCTTGAAGCCCAAGATAGATATTTAGTTTGCCTCAATATGGATGGCGGCATACGTAGCTTAGGCGTTGCGAGTCCGACTCCTAATTCCAAGGTACAGCAATTAAAACCCACTGCTGGCTGCGTGGATTTTAATCATGGTATGGGGTGTCGCAAGTTGACCAAGCCTTAAATTGGTACCAGGATGGCTGTCCTGGGGAGGTAAAGACAGCCGGCATAATGCTGACCACATTACCCATCTAGTGACGATTAGTCTGTAAAAATATGGGTGCTCTTCTTATATGCCTGATGCACCTAAAGACGTGAAAAGGGATCTTTACTCTTACTTTTTTTCATAAGGATGCAAAATTTGGCAGGGCCAGACTAAATTCTTTGTCTAGACTTATACTAGGTAACATCAACCTCATAAACCGTCTCCCAGCCCAAGAGTCTTGAGTTCAAACCAACATTGAGTCAGATTTGTTTCAAAAATGACTTATGCTTTCCAGTTTGGTCCAGCCTGAAATGGGTACCAGGTAATTTCCAGGGAAGTAAAGGCAGCTGGTAGACTATTGATTACATCACCCATTGATTACTAAGTGGGCTACAAAAATATGATTCTGGCATCATTTACCCAATATAACACTGCCGTGAAAAGGGTCTTTTACTTAAATATTGTTGTTTATATCAAGCTCAATAGTTAATTTAATACATACTCAAGGGAGACTCTTCATTGTGAAGAAACTTTTCAGACTGCAGAACACACATAACACTGGACCAGTCACAACTCAGAAAGGGATCTTCTATGGTTACATGTAGCATTCCAAGAAGTCTTATTGATACCCTTTTTCCTCTTAAAATCCATGCTGTGTGGCGTTGGTAGTCATGCCTATTCAAAACCTTCTGTCTCGTGTACTTTGAACTAACTCTGACACAGATGATCCTCCTTGCCATGATGTCAAACTGTCCAGCATTTTTTTCTCCTGCTCTGCTTCTCCTCCCCTCTAAGTTTCCTGCTGTCATGATGTACTACATTCTCCTTCTCATCACATGACTAAAGAAAATAGATTGTCTCTTTCTGATGTGGGCAGTCAGTTGTTTTTATAGTCAGTTTCTTTTAAGACATCCTCATTACTCTTTTTATCTGTCCAGGATTTGATACCCTACAGCAGGGCTACTAAGTTAAGTTTACTCAGGGACCAATATGTTAAGAATGGGGATTGTCACGTGGCAGAGGGCCGAGCCTAAGTGTAGAAAGGTCATTAATACAGTACAGTTGACAATGATCCACAGGCCACTTGTTAGGCCTTTGCGGGGTGCCAGCAAATAGTCCTGCATTATTATGGATCTACATAAAAGAAGATAGTTTATGTAAGATATAGTTGTCCTTAACTACCATATTTAGCATTTGTCAAGGTGATGTAGGTGTCTTTAGAATAAGGATTTATGGCCAGCAGTTCATATCAAATACAGCTGTTTTTAACTTTTTATATTCAATATTTGTCATTGCGATGAATGAAAGGATGTCTTAAGCCTAGGGATTCATGGCCACCAGTTTATGTCAGGTACAACTGTCTTTAGCTACCATATTTTAGACTTATTAGGTCACAGCTTGCTGATTTTGTACTGTTACATCATGCAGGTGAAATACTGTTGTGTGTGGAGTCTGCTGTTTATATGTTGCTGATTGTCTGCTGTTTATGTATTGCTGATTGTCTGGTATTTGTGTATTGTTGATTGTCTGCTGTTTATGTATTGCTGATTGTCTGGTGTTTGTGTATTGTTGATTGTCTGCTGTTTATGTATTGCTAATTGTCTGCTGTTTTTATGGTGCTTTTTGTGTATTTACTGATTATCTGGTGTTTGTGTATTGCTGATTGTCTGCTGTTTATGTATTGCTGATTGTCTGCTTTTTATGTATTGCTGATTGTCTGCTGTTTATGTATTGCTGATTGTCTGCTTTTTATGTATTGCTGATTGTCTGCTGTTTTTATGGTGCTTTTATTGTGTTTGCTGATTATCTGGTGTTTGTGTATTGCTGATTGTCTGCTGTTTATGTATTGCTGATTGCTGCTTTTTATAGTGCTTTTTGTGTATTTGCCAATTATCTGGTGTTTGCATGTAGTTTTCTGCTATCATATTGCTCGCTTGTCTGCTCTTAATAATGTATATTGCTGGCTTGTTTGTTGTTTGCATGTTACTGGCTTTTCTGCTGTTAACCCTCTGGAGATGACACAGCCGAAATATCGACATAACGCAAAGCTAGATGTAGCCGATCAGTCGGCTCTGTGGAAAAAAAGCCTTGATATTGGCTGGCAGGTTTTCACACCAGCCAGTCAGACTGCTTCTCGCATTTCTGCACATGTGGGCTGTTCATTGACGGCTTTCGAGAAAGTGTGATGTGTTCTGTAATAATTTCATCGATTTTTTTCTGGTGTTACCTGTGCCCTAAAAATGGGGAAAAGGACTGTTGCATCATAGCAACTAAAACATGGCTGCAGGCAGGAAAATGAGTAGAACCATGTGCAAGACATGTCTGAAGGGCCTTACTTCCCAAAATACAGGTTGTTATGACTTATTCAAGCTTTATCCATACAAAAATCCAAATTTGTCTGGTTATGTTTTGTTTCAAAGTTTAAAAATGCTTGCATAAATTGTGCAAATCAGAATAGTTAATTTGAATAAATGTTGAGATTTCAGTGATTCATAAATATTCTGTTAGTTCAGTCAATTCCCTACACGAATATATATATATATATATATATATATATATATATATATATATATATATATATATATATATATATATATATATATATATATATATATATATATATATATATATATATAGTTTTGTAAATGTTAATTAAACGCTTTATTTTTTATAATTTTTTTGTGTATAAACTATGAGAATCCGCTTCTGAAGGTTCTGTCTTTTTGGCACCGAAACTCCAAAAAGGCTCTGTTTTCAAAGGGTTAATAAGTTATAGGTCATCTGCTGTCTACATGTTATTAATTTGCTGCTTTTTAAATGCTGCAGTTCATTATCCTTTGTATGTGGGTTTTTTAAAATAATATTCTGCTCTTGTTGTTTGTAATTGCTTGTCTGCTGTTTATAAACAGTAGATAACTGGCATTCTGTCCTGTTTACCCAAAACTCTGCTATCACTTATTGAGACATGGTTTCTGATATGTCTTGCAGGATCTTTGCTGTTTATTTAGTGTAATTGTGTCTGCTGTTTACGTAAATAGGTTAGAAATTTAAAGACAATGTGTTTGGCATTTTGAATAAGTTAACTCTTTTGGCACTAGAGGAGAGTAAAATTAGTTAAGCTCAGTGCATGATGCAATCTTTGGTACCTAAAGGGTTAAGTTATGATAAGTTAAGATTCACTATTATCCAACTTCTTTTTTGTTGTTGCATCTCTGCTTGCATTTGTTGAAATGCAATCAAGTTTACATTATGCTTTAATTATTGTCATACACAGTTGGTT